CTTCTTCTTCTTCTTCTTCTTCTTCTTCTTCTTCTTCTTCTTCTTCTCCTTCTCCTCCTCCTCCTCCTCCTCCTCCTCCTCCTCCTCCTCCTCCTCCTCCTTCTCCTTCTCCTTCCTTCTCCTCCCCCTCCTCTTCCTCTCCTCCTCCTCCTTTTCTCTCTCTCTCTCTCCTCTCTTTCTTTCTATCTTTCTCTCTCTCTCATCTTTCCCTCCTCTCTCTTTCTCTCTCTTTCTCTCCTCCCTCTCCCTCTCCTCTCTCTCCTCCCTCTCTCTCCTCTTTCTCTATTGACAGTAATTATTCTTTAAATGTGTGCCATAAATCATACTGGAAATGTATGCACCCCAAATATCTTCTCATCTCCAGGCTCCCAAATGCAGTGTGTCATTTGCCTTGCACTTTCTCAGGAGGTCTATGCTGGCCTTCTATTTCTTTCTGGACTTCTGAAGGTCTAGACTTGTCTTCTGAGAATCCCAATAATGGGAATTGGACGTATCTGGAGAAGCTTCTTCTGGATCACCAGAAATGAGCAGCAGACGGCTTCAATCACCTCTTCTAATAAAAGTCAAATCAGCTGTGTCTTGAAATAAATATATGCAATGTGTAAAAGTGGGGTGGGTGGGTGGGCTTGCTTTCAGCTCAGACTAGGTAGGGCTCAAAGCCACCAACCAAGAGTGAATTGGAAAGATCTAACCCCTGCCTGCTTTATGGATTTATTTTGGGGACTGGTGATAACATAAACTTCACAGCACAGAGGTGGCCAAAGTTCTGACTCCCCAGCTGACTTAGTTCTGATTATCATCATTTTAATGAACCTCCGGGAGCCTCCAGTAGTGGCTTGGGTAGGTAGTGATGGACTGGGGTCATCCCTGGAAGACAGGATGCAAATTAATGTTCTGTTTTGCCTGGGAAAAATTGAAGGGGTGAAATGGGGGGGGGGGGTTGGCTTTGAGGACAGCAGAAATGTAGCTGGAAACCATGGCTGATCCTTGATTGGGGCTGTGTAGATCCGCCACATCTGGGATCCCATTGGTCTTCCTAGATGCACAGAAAGCATTTGATAATGTGGACTGGCAATTCATGTTAACACAATTAAAGGACTTTGAGGAGAGATTTATTAACATAATTAAGGAGATATAAAGAAAATGCAAAGGTGATAATAAATGTCTGGGAGATGACTGAGAAGATCAATATTAAGAAAGGCACAAGACAGGGATGCCCGCTGTCCCCATGTCTTCCTTTTGACTTCCACAACTTAAATGTGGAATCCTCGTTAGATTCTCGGTCAGTTCAATCCAACATTGCTTTTTCGGGGTCTCACGCAAAACTGTATCTGACGTTTGTTTCTTGTTTGTTTCTTTCAACTGGATTGAACCAACAAACCTCCAAAGCCAGATTTCTGGCTTGTTCTGACTTCTCTTTCCTTTCCTTGACCAGAACTTTCACTCATAACATGCTGGCTTTTGGGCTGAACAAGAAGCTTTGCAACGATTTCTTGAAGAAGCAGGCAGTGATTGGCAACCTGGATGAAGGTAGGTGGGGCTGGGAAAGGCCCAGGGGTCTTTGCAAAGCCAGAGACATCTTGGGGAAAGAGAAAGGGGATAAGAAGAAGGGCAATTTCCCTTCAGAGCTATGTTTCTTAATCTGGGCACCTTTCAGATGTGTGGACTTCAAATCCCAGAATTCCCCAGTCGGCCTTGCTGGGAGTTGAAGTGCACACCTCAATCTCCCAAGGTGGAGAATCACTGCTCTAAAGATCACTCCTCTGAGACTTAAGGAGCAACTTCCAGTGGACTTCAGTTCCCAGAATTCCTCAACCAATATGGGAGTTGGTCCACACATCTTCAGGTTGGCACAGAAAAAGCTGTTTGGGGATTTAGATGCTCCCATCTTAGCCTTTTGCTTTGCCTTCAGCTGCCTGCTGCCACCCCAGATGTGTGCCTCCCATCCTTCGCATAACTGAAGCTGATCCCCAGACATCTGGAGGACATCAATTCAAGAAGAATGGTTTTGACATAAGGAGTAGGCAGAAATAGCCCAAACTGTAAATTGAATAATGGACAATTTGCTGCTCTTGCAATGCCGGTGACAGATGTCGTGGAACCGTTTTGGTTTGGTGCAACTTTGGCCCAACTTTGTCAACTTTTAAGGATCGTGGACTTCAACTCCCAGAATTCCTCAGCCAGCATAGCAATTAGTCCACAAGTCTTAAAGTTGACAAGGTTGGAAATAGCCTTGGTCTAGTCTAGTGCATTAGAAGGAACCAAGCTGAGGGAGGTGAATGTCTAGGGCAGATGTCTCCAAACTTGTCAACTTTAAGACTTGTGGACTTCAACTCCCAGAATTCCTCAGCCAGCTGGCTGAGGAATTCTGGGAGTTGAAGTCCACCAGTCTTAAAGTTGACAAGTTTGGGGCCCTCCCTGGTCTAGGGATTTCCATCCTCTAGGGTGGAACAGTTCCTGCTGAATGGAGCGCCAAGCCGTTCTCCCCGCTGCTGTCTTGACCTGACCCAGCCTTGTTTCTGAAGATCTCTCAGCTGGTTCTCCTTTTGATTCTCCTTTCAGAGCAGTACAAGCTGCTGAGTGACCACATTGACCAAATGGCTGCTGAATAGGTCCACCACCTGCTTGGCCAGGACCAGGATGGAGAGAAGAGGCCGGCGGAGGCAAAAGGCTGGGAAACCCACCTCGGGGGACCGTCTGAAGACTTCAGATGGGCTTTTAAAGCAACAGACTCCCCCCATAGACTCTGCAATAATCCTGCATGATTGCTGTTCAACTGTGTCTGTGCTGTGCTAAGCAGCCTGTAGAACTTGTCCATCCAAAGGCGCCAGTCTCCTTCTGCAGCCTCAAGGACACCCAACCCCTTCCTCAGACTTTGGGCATGGAAGCTCTGGCTTTGCGCCCCCCCCCCTCCCGGTCTGGGGAGATTCCTCCATGCAAGGCAGGGAGAGTCCTTGGGGACCAGGACAGGAGGTCCTTGTGAGAAGGACCGGAAGAAACCTCCACGCATTATCCTGGACTATTTTAAGCATCCAGAATCCTTTTTTTTTTTTTTCAACAGCCATGAAATGTGAAATAGGATATGGGCCCGAGCTGCAATGGAACGGAGGGGCAGATAAGAGCTTTTAATTTTTCTGCAGAGCTGGTCATTCTGGAGAAAGGTATTTGGTAGACCCAGAAGGCCTGGTTTGATTCGTCCTGTTAGGCAGAGAAAGATATTTAAAGGTAGGCAGGAGCTGACATTTTGTAGTTTTGGACCCTGAGATGCTGTGCAAGCCAACCGGGCCCAGATTCCTGGTTCCCTGGACCAGTTCTGGGACCTCCTGTGTGGTTTCAATGCAATACGTTCTGAATAAAACCAGGAAGCTGATCTAACTCCGGAGGTGTAAAGAAGAACAAGTCCACCACTGTGGTTGACGTGGTTGCTCAACTGGTTGACCAAGATTGATCGATCCCATCTCTCTGGTTTGTCAACCTCACGGAGCCTTTGTCTGGTTTGTCCACATGAAGTAGGTGGAAGGTTGTCTGTGAGGTGCTGCCATATTTCCACCATTCATGAACGTGAAGGCCTACATGGCAGCAACAAGCCATCTTGAGGGCAACCACAATATTCTTCAACATCCTCCCATTTGGAGAAGCCTCCTCTGGGCGGCTTCTCACACCTTTGATGATCAGCCTCTGGTGTCTTGTGTCTGGTGTGTGTGTGTGTGTGTGTGTGTGTGTGTGTGTTTCTAAGGACAGGTTGATGTTGGGTGTGTAGGGGAGTGTTTTCCATTCACTTTGGCTTGATGGATGCTGGTTTTTCATTCTTTGGGAAAAGATATAGCTGCTAGTGAGTTGTTGGGTGATTTACAGAGTCCACAAGAAACTCCATCTCCCTCCCTCCCTCCCTCTGTATGGGTGTGTGTGTGTGTGTGTGTGTGTGTGTGTGTGTGTGTGTGATTCTCGAATGTTGGACTCCTGTAGTTCCCGTGGCCACCAGGAGAGGGTGCCACGGAAACAGGTTTTTGACATGCTTCCTCCTGTGGGGTTCAAGGAAGGAATCCTTGCTTAGTTGGTTGCTTATGTTGAATCTGCCCTAGAGTCTGAGTTAGGAGTGGGGGTGACTTCTACTGGTAGGATTTTTGGATGCTCCCCTTAGAAACCCTCTTCTGTTTCCACTTCTGTTAACCAGATCCCTTTGCTGGTGGTTTCCAAAACAAGCAGCTTGCTGTCCTTAGCAGCCCGGTCTTTGCCAGTGGTAGCTTCTCTTCATAGCGTTGCTTCAATCCCGGTTGAAAACCCAAAGGTTTGGAGGAGGCTCAGCACACCAGCATTCCGCACGGCTGGCTTTTGCTCTTCCTAATCCTGCAGATAAAGCCCAAACTGCCACATCTGGAGAGAGGCCTCCGCTAAATTCTTCTAGCTCAGGCTTTCCTTCCACTTTGGGGAAGACATCCGATTCTCCCAGCAGGCTTGCATCAGCTTGACACACAGCGGAAACGACACACCGAGGGATACCCCACCACTGACGACTGCAAAGGTGTTTCAGGGTGGGCCAAAGAGCATCAAGACTCAGCTCCCACTTGTAGACAATTGAAAGCCCGGAGTAAGATTTAAAGACGTGGATTTCTCCCGAGTTCCTGCAAGCCACAGCAATCCAGGACGTGGCCTGTATTTCGTGAAGGCTGCAGGAGTCCCGTTCCTCCGACGCATATTGTCCCGTCTCCTTTTATACCTGAATCCTTCCAGGTCTCTCTCGTAAATTGTGTTCATTGTTTTTTCTTCTCCATTCCATTGTTAAATCTTGACAATTTTTTTTCCCTTTAAGGTGGGGGATGGATGGAGAGCAGCACTGAACTGAATGTGAGTGAGCGAGGCTAGTCTACATTTTGTGGAATGCAAAAGATGTAAATCCAGATGTTTGCTTGCATTTCTGAGGTCTGCTTTAAAGGCTCGGGGAGGTAATTTGCAGCAAAGAGTTTAAGTGACTTCTTGGAATGAAAAGAAGGATGGGTCTGCAACAGATCCTGGGTTTTGTGTGTGTGTGTGTGGGAGGATGCTGCTAAATATGTAATTTTAGGATCATCCTTCTCTTCTTTGCTCTTTTAAAAAGCAAAAAACCCAGAACTGCATATTGTATGATTGTAAACCTGAGTGTCCCAGTGTGGCATTTCCATCATGTGAGTTTCACTGAAGTTTTAAAACTGCTGTATTTGGTTGTGTAATATATATATATATATACATATACAGTATAATGTTCTGATGTACATTGGGTGCATTGTGTGTGCCCTGTATCAAGAGTGCAACTTCATGTCCTATGTGGAATATTGTTGTTTTTAACTTATGTACTGAAAACATTTCAAGTTCTGGTTACGACAGAATCAGGGGAAATAAAATAAAGCTTCAATAAATAAATGAAACCACATCTTCACTCTTTTCCCCCTGCCCAGGTTATGTTTATTCCAGATCCCGTTTTCTGTGCTATTCCCTCTCTTTTTTAAAAAAAAAAATCAATGAAATACAAGTGATCCTTGACTTATAACCATGCATTTAGCCATCGTTCACAGTTACAACGGCACTGAAAAAAGGTGATTTAGGAGAGGTCCTCGCCCTTATGAGAAAGGAGAACAACCGAAAAAGAAAAGAAAAATGTAGGGTGGAAAATGGCTTGTGGTCTTTACAGTAGTTCTAAATGCCTTTGGATTTCATCCACTTTCTCTGAGGTTATACCATCCCTGTTTTCTTTCCATAATCTATTCTTTTATTGCCAATCCACCTCATAAATCGCATGTCTTCCTTTGCGTTTTCCGTGTGGTCTTGGCGCTGGTGTTGAACCATAGATAGCGCTTGTCTATCAAGGTTCCTTAATCGGGCGCCAAGATCGCCCTATGCTTTGTCTTTGTGGCTGAGCCTGGCCACAGACTATGACCACAGGTTAAAACGGCAGGTGAGTCGAAGCGAGACACCTCGCTGCAGCTCCTAAGAAGCCACACCTGTGTTTGGTTACTACGGATACACCTGGATCGACAAAAAAGCCAGTCCTCTGCCTTGGGTAGGCTCCTCCTGTTCTTCTTGCCCCACAGAGGATCACTCTGTGGGGAGTGGAGTGCCCCAACCCCCACTGCAAGCTCCTTCCAAAATGCCAATGTGGAACCACTCCGTCCTCCTCCTCCTCCTGCTGCTGCTTCTTAATCCCCTGCAGGGCTCCTCTACGCTGGGTCTAAGGAACGAGCGTGCTCCCACCAGCCTTCCTGAAAAATGCGCGGCCGACAAATTCTTCAGTCTTGAGACTGGCCAGTGCAGCACCTGTGCCCCAGAGCTGATCCGGAGTCCTGAGGGTGAGTGGGGGGAATAGACGGAGGGCTGGGACGGGGAAAGGGGGAGTAGACGTCCAGCAGCAACATTGCAATTTAGCAAGTATCTGGCGCAGGGGTCCCCAAACTTGGCAACTTTAAGACGTGTGGACTTCAACTCCCAGAGTTCTCCAGCCAGCAGAGCAATTAGTCCACAAGTCTTAAAGTTGACCAGGTTGGAAACAGCCTTGGTCTAGCCTAAAGGGAACCAGGTTGTGGGAGGTGAATGCCTAGGGCAGAGGTCTCCAAATTTGGCAACTTTTAAGACGTGTGGACTTCAACTCCTAGAGTTCTCCAGCCAGCAGTTTGGAGATCTCTGATCTGGGGGAAGGAATTGGCCCTTGGAAAAATTCCACCCACTTCCCTTTTGCGAAGAAGCTGCAGGAATGAGAGGCCTTAATGAGTGATTAGCCGCTGTGTTTACGGCTAGCAAAATGCCAGCTCTGCAGAAAGGAGCACATTGGTGCATCCTGCGGGTGCCCTTGGGGCCGTGCAGTGAGCATGAAATTATGTGCCACGGCTAATTGCAGAACATGGGAGGGGGAAGCTTTTGATTTGTGGCAGGATCCTGCTGCAATCTCCTCCTTGCCTGCCTCCCTTTTCCCGTTACTTTGCCTATGTAAAAAAACATTCACTCCATAATAAGAGACGCGTTTAGCTGTTCTGGGGAGTTTAAGCCTTAAAGGGTTTTTCTATATCTTCTGCAAGGGTGCAAGTAGTTCTTGTTTAGCCATAAGAATTGGGAACGGCAATGCCATCGCTACGTCAAGTGGTCATAATCCTGATTCCCCCACTTGGAGTGCTAACCCTGCTACTGGGATAATTCACATGAAGGGAACTGATGTTTGCATTTGCATTCATTGGAGAGAAAGGAGAGTTTTACAAGAGAGTAAGCAGGCACAGAGGAGGAATACCCATTGGAAGAATGCCCTGGGCCTGGCAGCTGCTGCATTACAGATGTGTAATTACAGTGGTGTTTTTCATCCAACTTGAAGATGTGAGGACTTCAACTCCCGGAATTCCTGATTTCTTTCAAATGCTAGTTTCACCTACTCACAGCAGAATTGGCTGCCAATTTATCCATCAATGTTTTGAGTGAACTCCTGAGACCTCTACGGTGAGCAAGTAGCTTCTAGAAGCCCTGTCTTGACTCAGTTTCCCTCTTCGTAGGCTTGAGTTGTGTTTGCAAGCCCGGATCGAAAGAGTCAAGCGGAGAACCCCATCGTCTTTCATGCCCCGGCTGTGTAAGAGCTTATCTTTTTGGCTCTTTCTTGGGGATGCAGGCAGAAGCATTAAAAAAATCAACATGATCTTTCTCTCCCCTTATCTACAGAGCAGCGTTCCCACTGGCACCCTCTGGGAATCTGAGTTTCTTGACTGGAGCTTCCTAGCTTGTGAGGTGGGTGGATTTCTGCTGCTTCTCCTTGCTACAACCAAGAAGGGATTTGATGGCTTTGAATTAATCTTTTTATTTATGAAGAATTTCCCCATAAATCAAAAAAGGAAAGAAAAAAATGCAAGGAAAAAAACCAATAAATATAGGAATGGCTTCTAACCTTCTCTTTACAGGTCAGCTTGCAGTTGTGGTATGCAAACCCTGTTAGATAGCTTCATGTGACAATATGCAATCCCCTTGCCAACTGTTTTCTTTTTTTAAATGGTTGCAACCTTGATGTGGGGCCCGGGGCCCAGCATGGGTAAGCTAGTAACTTATGAAAGGGTTTAATTTTATGAAGAGTCACACCAAAGTGGTCTGAAGTCCACCCATTCTACCTGCTGTCCAGGCCTCAGTAATCTTTCTTTTATTCTCCTTAGAACCCCTGCAATGCAACGGCTTGTCAAATGCTCACCAACATGGTCATCCTCAGAGCTTTTTCTTTGCAAACCAGACCTTACGACCTTTACACCAAGGCCAAGTAAGTAACTCCAGCTCTGGTTTTCCAGCTCCTGTAATGGCATCTCAGGGAGAAGTTGGTGTCCTACGCATCATGCGAATGACACCAAGGAGGTATCTCTGGTGCAACGGCTTTGTGAGGTTTCTCTGGCTTGCAAGCTGACCCTTGTCTCTTCAGAAGGTCCACTGGGCTTTGTGGGAGCTTTCTTTCCTGCAGGAGCACCTGCCACCTTCTGCAAAGCAGGAATGTCTTTTCTTTTCAGGAGCCAAGACCTTCCAAAGCTTTGGTATGGTAGCAACACCAGGCCTTTTCCTTCTGTGGCTTTTGGGAAGCATTCAAAGGCAAGTTGAGGCAGATCCAAAAAAAGCCTGTGCATGTGTCCTGTTCCCACCCCCCTCAAATATTTCTCAACAATGGCCACTTTGGGATGGGTGGACTTCAACTCCCAGAATTCCCAAGCCAGCCCCTAAAGCTGTGGCTGTTTCAACTGAATAGACACGTTAGCAAAGCGGAGTAGACCTTTGGACTAAGTGGATGAGTCAGGGAGAACTTCTTAAAATGCCTGACCTAGTGACCGCTGAATTTGTTTTTCTTTTCTGCAGATGGACTTCAAGGTCATTCAGTACGATGCCCAGGGAAAGTTCCTGGGTTGGCAGGATGTAAAAGGAGGAACACTTCAGGTAAATGAATTACTTTC